TTTTGTTCGTCCCAGTTTGAGGTACCGATAGTGTCGCTGTGTTGTCAATATCGAGTTTTATTGTCTAGCTCAAACGCATTGCTGCCCAGACGTTGCCAGGCCTCGTGCGACTGAGTCTCTGGCTCGAGTCGCCCGAGCTTCTATTGACGTGGACAGCGCGTCACACATCGACGACGGTCGACGTGCGCTTTGTGTGCTTGGGCCTTCGCGCGCTGCTGCTGCACACCCGGTTCCTGCAAGAGGTGTGTCCATGCGATTCCTGTGCATATTTGACAAGGTATGGCACATTAGGTGCAACGCGAGGCACCGACACCGACTCTGGCAGTGTTAACGGCCTTGGCACAGAGCACCACGGATGCCATGCTACCACGTACGCACCGGAAAACAGGTGTTCGGGGACTCAAATGCGGTGTAGTTCTCTTGGCGAGTGACCCGCGGCAGCTGCGAGAAAAGACAGATGTCCTGGCTCTCGTCGAAGCGTCGCTCGTCTACTTGGTGCAAGCACCCAGCTTTGCCGAGCCGCTCTGCGCATCGATGCTAGCGTGCATGGCGTCCCACTGCGCCTTGGCGCCAGCGGCCGCGGCCAAAGACCCGAGCCTCGACCGTTCCATGAGGTTAAATCAATTCCTCGTGCACGCAGTTTTGAGCAATATTTCTAGCTCGACGGTCGTGCGCTTTCTTCCGTCGCTCGTGCAAGCCATGCCACCCACCGTGCTCGCTTCGCAGCTTCGCCACCTCGTGGTGCTCGTCAGCTCGTGGATCGAGCCCAGCGACGACAGCGTACACTCTCAATTTTGTAGCCAGGAAATGTGATCTATTGTCTATTCTAGTTGCGCTGGATCATTGTCGATATGGATGAAGCTTATGCACTCTTGCTTGATACGCTTTTACTGCTCGCGGTACCATCTTCTGCAAGAACGTGCTGATTCTAGAGGAGCACGGATGGCTAGGCGAGAAGCAGCGACGACTGGGACGAAGCGTCGCTCGAGCGCGCAGTTGATAGGACGCTGCGCCTGCTCGCCCACCCGAGTTGCACCGCGTTGCAACGCGCCAAGGTCGACCGCTAGCAGTCGCTGTCGAGACGCTTTACGAATCGTAGATACTGCATCTAATGGAGCTCCTTGCCCCCCGTCTCTCGCCATCCCGCCAGGCGCCAACGCTGAACGCGCTGCTCGAACCCCTCGGCAATGTAAGGCAATCACCCAAATCTAGGCTCTGACGCGGGTCTGGATGCGTAGGCCAAATCGGGTGCGGTCCAGGTACTTTCTGCAGGGTGGGCGGTCCAGTTTGAGTGGAGACGGTAGGACACGGCGTGGGACTCTTGGGATGACGACGCACCCAAGACAGCGACCAGCGGACAAGGTACACCTCGACTCGACGTCGTCGCCGACTGACTTCTGGTGTCGTAGACGTGATCGAAAACGAGCGGGCGTTCTGGAAGCGCTTTTACGCATCGCCGCTTGCAGGGACCAACGTTGCCGCAGTCGTCACGCAAGCGTGTACGGTCCAAGCGCAGGCGGCCCTCACGGCGTGGCTTGCGTGATCTTCTTTATGCATACGACGCTCACTATGATGTCTTCTGGACTAAGAACGCTCGCATGGTGTATGAGTAATCCTCGTCTTGGCTTCGCATACGACATGTCGCAGACCCGAAACCGTCATCGTCATGCGTTAAACGCGCTGAAAGCATGCCACGTCATGCATATGTAAAGGTCTTATAGGTTTAACGTCCCTGCGACGTGCGTCCCGCCTTTCTTCTCGTCCTAGCGCTCGACCCCACGTCCACTCGGCTCATAATTCGAATGAACGCCGAGCCCACACCATGCGGGGGAACGAGCGACCCGCCCTACTCCGTTGCTGCTGGGTCATTTCAAGACGCAAGCCACAACGACGGTGGAGAAGACATTGCGGCTTTTCCCCTATGGCTCCCGCCCGAGTCCTTTCTCGGTACATCCTAGCTAACTATCGACTCATTACCGCATTTGTGTAGACGAGCTGCTCCGCGCTAGCGCCGTTACTGACGACGTTGCAACAGTACCGACGACGAATGACGACAGTGTCCATGGGATCGCAGCTCATGCCGAACGCTCCCTGGACGACGACGACGACATGACTATGAGACAAGGCACGCTCCGTGTGTGCCTTGCAGACGGATGCCAGCGCTTCGCCCAGATGAACCAGCTTTGCTACCGCCACGGAGGGCGACGCACGTGCCAAATCGAAGGATGCGGCAAGAAGGATCGCGGCAACGGCCGCTGTGTGCGTCATGGTGGAGGCGAAAAGTGCCTGGCGCCAGGGTGCACTCGCCACGCCCGCGCTCGTCGGTATTGCTATCGACACCGCGCCTTCGCCCACGACGGCTGATTCGCACGTAGTCGGTATCCGACGTGTACATCGTGTAACTACTACATACACACACTGCATGCAAAACTGCTTTATGCACTAGTCAGTCAGTCATCGGAAGGCAAATGCGGGAGGCAGCGGGGATCGCCAACAAAATAGAAAGTAATGGATCTGTACCGAACGCGGCTGAAGTCTGCGCCAAATTCACAGTAAGATCTTTCTGGAGCGATGATTCCGATCTTCATTGAATGGGTCTTAAGTCTGTACAAGATTTCGTTATCAATACGACGTGAGCTAGAGCGTGATACTGCAGAGGACATGGTTTATCGATGTTCCGTGTCAACTGGGTCACGAAAATGCAGCGCATACATGTAGAGACGACACAGTAGGACGCTCTTGACTGGAGCAATCTCCACTGTACGATTTGTGCATGTACCGGTACATGTGTGTCCAGCCTTCAAACGAGTTCAAGCTCTACATTCCCTGGTCTCGCATCTGAAAAGGGGCAATGGAACTGTCCGGGCATGTTTAAGTACTCTATTGCGATTAACCTTTTGAATGCATGATTTAACACTTAAAATACAATTGTTGCTTTAGTTGCCGACTTGATAGATAGTTTGCTCTAACTTCGAGGATGTTTATAAAAAGGGGGATGATAAATAGGGTCGCGACCCCACGGTGCGCCGAGAGGTTAGTCGGACGCGCGGCAAATGCGCTGAAAGATCGAGAGCCGCGAGCCCGCACCGATGTCGTCGTCGATTTGGTTGTTGCCGAGGTTGAGCTGCATCAAGCTGAGTGTGCTCTCATCATCGCTCATCGACGGCGTGTGGTCGCTCGACGTGTCGCTGCCGCCGAAGCCATACTCTCTGCGCGCAAAGCGCGTCTCCTCAAAGGGCGGGAAGCTGCAGGCGTGGACGGGCTGGAGCTTGAACGCCGCCGAGTAGCAGCTCAGGTCGATCGAGCCCTCGGCGTCCGGCTCGCTGTAAAAGTGGCGCGACGGGTTCACGCGAGGGATCGGGCGGCCGCGGCCCTTCATGTTTTCCGCGTCCTGCTCGGCGCGCGTCATGCTGTAGGCCTCGTCGTCGCTGTTGTCTTCCTCGGGCGAGCTGTCGTGGATGAAGCGGCAGCGGCCGCCGTACATGCACTTGCCGGTGGCGAGGAAAGCCTTGCACTTGGTCGTCTTGTACTTGGGGTGGCGAAGCACGCCGCGGAGCTCGTCCTCGCCATGGGCAAACTGGCACTTGGAGCCATAGCGACACGTGCCGGTTTCGGTAAAGTGCTTGCAGAGCTCGGTCTTGTACAACGTGTTGCGGGCCGAGTTGGGCAGGCGCGCGCAGTCGACAATGTCGCCGTTCGCAAGCACCTGCATCGTGCGCTGGGCCGACGTCGAGGTCATGTTGGATCGATGAAAGGAGAAGTTCTTGTTGGAGAATGAGTTGAAAGAGGCGGCACCCGGAGCGTCGATCCCTCTACCAAGACCAACTGGTTTTCAAACGTGACAGCAGCCTCGGCTCGAAGGGGTTTTCAGAGGTTTCGGGTGCAATTTTTAGGTTCCCGCCCAGAATAACACGTGGTCGTGACCTTTCCCGCAAGAAAGCCCTGCCTCGGCCAATCCGGTGCGAGCAAGGTTTGAAAACAAGCCAATCACTGATGCGCACATGAAGCAGCCCATTTACCCGCGAAACAGAGATCTCGAGACGGCCAATCGGACGCGCCGAGGTGAGAAAAGCAAGCGCGAGGAAGAAATCCCAGCACTTGCACCTGCTCCCGCCGTGCTTCTACCCCGCGCCTCGCGTCCCCGCGTTGTACCTGACGCTGTAGCGTCGATGTTGTAGTCTTGAGCAAAGGTGCGTCAGTTCTGTTTAGGCAGAGCGGTCTGGTGACGGTGCCCTTGCAGATGGTCGCAGAGGCAGCCATCTCAGTGTTTTCGGCTGGTATCCACGTGCGGTCGTCTGAATTCCGTCATGACATCATCATCCGTGCAGTGACAAGGACATCTCTTTCTCATCTCGATTCAATGCCTCCTTCGAGCTCTCGCACAGCAAAAGGGTGCCTTACGTCCTCTGCGATGACGTCCGAACGAACGGCATGTTGACGACGCCGTAGCGTACCCAGCGCATCCTCCATGTAAAGAATGAAACTCGTGCACGTGGAAGCAGCAGATGCGGCCACGTATATACGTTTCCAAACTTCAACCTCGAACGGAGTGGGATCCCACGAGGTAGCAATGCCAGATACCTCCAATGGGTACCTCTGTTCTGCAGCAGCGCGTCTTGCAAAGAGGAGATAACACATATAGCGTGGCTATTGTTGCTCAGGATTGACTCGGCGGGCACGAGAAATCACGGTATGCGAAGCGGAGACCCAACCCACAAACTTGGGCGATGATGCGACGACTTGTACGCTGCATCTGCTGCCGTTGCATCCGCGCTCCGAGTGCCGACGCTGTCGTGCCCAAGTTTAGACTTTGCCTTGGCGAGCTGGACGCGTCGTCTCTCGAAAAGACTCACCCGTTGACGGTGGTGTCGGACGGCTCGACGCTTGTGATGCGAAGTGTTCTGGCGTCGTTTTGTGGCGACGTACTAGACTACCGGTCCAAGAAACAACTTGACCGCGTGGCATCGACAATAAACCCAAGCGAGCAAGCATTACCCCTTACAACAAAGCATCTAGTATTTCCGACACGAGGTAATACTGTAGTGTTACTCGCTGGCGTAGCCAAGTTGAAAGAACGGGTACTGCGACGCAGGCTCGGCGAGCTGCGTCTCGAGCGTGCTCACATCGAGCACGAGCGGCGTCCCCATCCATGCGGCGCGCTCCGTGTGGTCGCGGACCTCCTACAATACCAGCGCATAGCGTCAATACACTTGCTTGCCGACCGCCATAATGTCGTATACCTCGCGCGTCAACGGGTGCATAAAGACGCTGAGGCCATTGCGGTTGGCGACGAACCACGAGTAGACCTCGGCAAAGTGCTCGACGGGCGCCCACGTCTCAAAGGAGCCGATCGGGTGCGGGCCCACGGGCACGAGGTTGAGACCATGCGTGGGCTTGGCGCGCACCTGCGGCTCGGTCGTGTTGTTGCCGACATAGTGGTGCAGCGGCACCGCCACGAAGCGGCGGTCCTTGCTCTCGAGGTTGGCGACGAGCGCGTTGCGGAGGGCGACAACCGTGGCCAGCTCTTCCGGGTTCTCTGCGTGGAAATACGTGTGGAAATGCCACGCGGAAGGCCATCGTGGCGCTCGTCTTCACTTGTCAAAAGGCAATCTGCACCCTGTCCTTTCTACAGACCGCGATATTAAAATAAGATGTCGGCGACTCGATACTTTAATTAAGTTAGGAGTGACCGAGGTATTGAAATAGGATGTCCTCCAAAGTACGCCTCACCCACCGTACACCATAAAGCTACACCCGCCGAAGCAACGGAAAATACCCATGCGCACTTAGCGCAACTCTACACTTGTGGTTTGTATTGGCATAATACGAATAAGACGCTGCGGGGATCAACGCCGCAGCATATCTTGGCGATCTCCTCCTCAAAGTGACAGCGCGATCTCATCGCGCCATCACTCTTCTCCTGAGCCTCATTTCCTGGAAAAGCAAGTACATTGAACAGTGATAGTGCCCGAGACCATGGCCCGAGATCTTGCCTCGACATAACTGGATCAACTACTGGCGGATGCTAACATACAATGGAGAGGTCGTTCGACTCGCTAGATTAGGAGAAGGCTCAGCGCCACGCCAATTAGCACCACGGCATGACCATGGATGGTGTCCATGCCGCTCGTCTTTGTCGGTGTCGTGGTCATTGGCATGCTCGTCTTTGTCGGAGTCATGGTCATGGGCATGCTCGACGCCGTCGCCAAGTCGGTCGCAGACAGCGTCACCGGCTTGCCGTCCACCATGACGTCGCTGGCGATCGAGATGCACTTGAGCTCGGGCGTGCCGTCGTCGATACCCGTGAGCGTTGCGTTGAAACCCGTCTTGCCATAGTTGCGCGCTGCCATGCCGTACTTGATGGCGAGCGCCGTGCCGTCGGTGCCGAGCTGGTACTTGACCGTGTAGTTGGCGCCTGGCGTCGCGGGCGGCGACAAGATCGAGTAGCCCGACTCGGTGCACGCCTTGAGGTCGACGAGGCAGTGGATCGAGTGGACCTCGGGGTGCTGAAGCGTCAGCATCGTGGGGTTGTCGACCATGACGCCGCGCGTGATGCAAAAGTTGTCCATGATGAAACCAGAGAGAGTGACGTTCTTGCCGTTGGCCGTGCACGCGGCCTGGGCCGATGGAAGTGTCGCCGAGAGAAAGACGAGAGCGGCCGTGAGCTGGGAGAGCATGTTGAGATGTTTGGGAAAAGGAAAAGTGAGCAATTGCATAATATGCGCACTCTGGTGTGTGTTTATCAGCCGGGAAAATGTCAAAACTGGGTGAACGTGGGCCCAAATCAACCCAAACCTGGGTAAATTGCATAAAAATACATAGACTTGGTTTTACTATTGAGTGGCTCAGGGTGGCATAAAGTGGCTCGCCTCGGCGTCTTGACATGCCCCTCTCCTCCTACCCCTCCTTAACCGCAAACAAGACCTGTACAACAATCCCTTAACCTTTCTCAACACCTCACATCACCCCCACCTACCCTTCCCTGTGACTACCTTGCCAAACAACCCCAATACCCTGCCGGAAACTTAAGCGAATGGTTATTTTTTCGCCAAATTCCTGTTTTGACGCAGCTTGTACCAAACACACCCAGTTCTGTCATTTTCCCTTATCAGCCCCCGCCTACATTAAGACCAGGATTCTCTTTTGTGTACCTGCATCGGGTCAGTGTCGTCCTATAATGTCGCAGGGTTGCGGTTGCGTCAGGTGGCGTTCCGAGGAACTCCGATCTCGACGTGATTGCCCATCATCTCTGCGTCAAAGTGCTTTCTTTGATGACTCATTGGGTGTGCTCTTTTAAATCATCAGAAATGACTAAACTGAACTGCAAATGACCGAAATCGAGGTGTATCTCTGGCATGTGTTCCAGGACGCTCCAAGTGCGACTTCGTCCTATGTTACTACTGTGTAAACAGAAGACGTTGCCGCCTCGATCGCAAGAGAGAGGAACGATCGCATATTATGCAATTGCTCACTTTTCCTTTTCCCAAACATCTCAACATGCTCTCCCAGCTCACGGCCGCTCTCGTCTTTCTCTCGGCGACACTTCCATCGGCCCAGGCCGCGTGCACGGCCAACGGCAAGACGTCACTCTCTC